GATCATCACAGTTAAAAATATTTTTCACAGCTAAAGGCTACAATAAAAGCAAAATGCGTTCAGTCTGACATGCAGCTCCATTGTATTGCTGAAACTGTGACGTCTTATACTATTTCTGAAAAGATATTTATGTAAACAAGTTGGTGACTAAGGACTTTGAAGTCAACAGGAAGTCTGAACAGATGCTTCACTAATGATTTTAAGGTATTTGTGAAAATTGCTGCTAGGCATAATTTTCTTCGCCTGCTTAGATGAGTCTGTCATGCATAATGAATAACGAACATCTAAATATGTAATGTTTTATCTTACGTTTATTTTAGTGTAGCATATTTATTTATTTCAGCATAGATATAACTAATAATTCATCTTAAATCAATAATATCTTTTGACCAAGACAATCAAGGACCAAGTAATCTACAAAGTGATTACAAAAATGCTTTTGCTTTTATAAAACCAGCACGTCTTAAAGAAACTGCATGCAGAAATATAAAGAAGTTTGAAGACCAAGAACAAACCTTGGTGAAATATCACAGCCTTGTCTCATAAAAGCTCCAAGAGAGAACCAAAGGCTGTTGAAAATCCCAAACTCGTTGGTTGATTCGTTGGTCTGTATCTGGCCATCCTCATATTCCTCTGTGTGCCACTCATATGGACTGAAACGACTGACCAGGAAAAGCACCACGCTTACGCCGATGTAGGCGAACACGATACACATCCAGATCTCATAGGCCAGAGGGTCCAGGAATGAGAAAACACCAGGCTTGGATTTCTGAGGCTTCTTGATCATGATGGAGATGCCCAAACTCATGAATGGCTTTGAGAAGTCAATGACTTCTTCTCTGACTAAAGTGATAGTCAGTGGAGCCACTGCTATGTCAGCTTTCTAAAATCAAAGAGATTTAATGTTTATTGATCATAGGAAATGTTGATGTTAATAGTTAAGACTACTTTTCAGACCGACAGAAACTACTTATCAATTATGCCCAACTTTCTTACCCCATAAACCAACTCTCCAACCATTCCATTCCAGATCTTCGTCTCTGCATCTCTGGCTCCATATTTGCCATCTCCTACTATTTTCAGCTGATATTTAAATCCACAGTGTTTTGCTATTTCAGCTGCCAAGTCCACACAGTACCCCTCATATCTTTCATTATCCACAAAAAGGTCAGCATTCTTCTTTAGCATTACATACGGCGCTTCCTGATAAAGACAGCAGGGAACACCTTGTCAAAGAAGTGTGCTTTACTACAGAGCACATATTTCAATGCTACAACATTTAGTATGGACAACCACAACTGATACCTACTAGAATAGTGGTGACGATCACAGTCTTGTTTTCCAACCCCATTGTATCATTTGGGAAGAGATCAGACTTTGTCACAACCATTTTATCAACTTCATTCCAATAGCCAATCTGAAAAAAGAGAGGCATTTGAGAGTAACCTGTAACACTTATGACGTGAAGTAATAAATGATGCATTCCTTTCTATACACTTTTCTTAGAACAAAGCCTTACCTTAACTGGTCCATTGCTTTTCAGTTCCATGACATTGACGGTGTAATTTACCCTCTTTCCATACTGGTCAAACTGAATGTTACCAGTGAGACCATCAACTCTCACCTGTATGAAAAGTATATGACAAGAGAGGAAAATCATTTTTGAGGGATTATTTCTTTTCTTTTTCAAAGAAAGGTCAAATATCTGTGGCCTCCAAAAGTGACAATCTGGGATTCAGAATCTTATTTAAACAAATATTTTATTTTACAAACACTTTAACGACCCAATATAAACAATAAAATTATATAAATTTGGTTGTACTCATGGGGCAGGTTGGCACAATGACTTGTCACCTGTTTTAGGGCACGCTCTATCTCCACCCCTTGTGCCCATGGTACAGCAGGATTGGCCAGACAGTCTCCAGTGTTAGCTCTACGGGAGATGTCAATTCGCTGTTTGTGCAGGTAACGGAAGGCCTCAGTCATCACCTGAACTGCGTCATACGTCAGTGCTGAAGTGTACTGGATACAGAGAGAGAGATAGTGAGGAATTAGTTAAAAGGGTTGGAGAAGAAAATCAGAAAAATAGTTTATATAGTATTTTAGGTGATATAGTATTTCTAGATTTAATGTGTATTCCAGGATTATCGTCACCAATTCATAAAAACGATATTAGATCATAATATAAACATTAAATACACATATAGGGAAGCCATGTTCACATTTATTTGATAAAGCTGTCTCTGGAAAGAATAACAGCAGTTATATGAATTTCATTACATTTGAATTTGTTTGCTACCTCAATGTATGTTCAATTCAAATTCAGGATTGAACTGTAATTCAAAAGGTGTTCTCAATTCTAAATGACACATTTTCAGGATTCATTGGTAATGTAAGAATGAAACACTTGATTTCAGTCCCAGGAAATTAAGCACCTACTTAGTCTTCGTAAATTGGCGAGAAGACAGATGAGACTACATTTTATCTGGAGTAGAAAATGACTAACAAGCTTGTCCTGCAAATGGCCTGAACTATACAGGCGTTTAAATGAAGAGGTTTTATGTTCATGTAGCAATTACCTGAACATCTCTTTTAATCATATTTAGTGAAGCTGTCTGAAACAGTAAAAGGGACAGTCACACACACACACAGATCTCACCCGTATCTTGCTGTCTGCTCCAGGATATTCTTTTTCCTCCAGGGCTTCCCAGCGCTGGTCAAATTTAGATACCAGGGGGTCATCGAAATCCACAATCTGAAAGCCTGACACATTGGCTCCACCGTATTGGATTTTTGAAAGATCTCCATCCACAAAACCCTGAAAACATGACATGGTTTTCTCAGCATTTTTGCACATTTTCAATAAGACGTGTTGTTCTTTGGTAGTGTTACATTTTAGATAATTTACCAAGTTTGCTATGATGTAGTGATATCCTTTCACATGCCTGCCAATAGTTATGACCTGCAAAGAGAATAATGAAGCTCATCAAATCAATGAAATACAAATAAATGAAATAAAACTACATTTCATAAATATATTTTAGATAATGACAAGAGAATGTGTACTGCTTCACTATGCCAGCCAGAGAGATGGACTGAAATAAAAGCAGCTTGAGAGGTTTGTGTACTGACAGCAAGGTACTTGTGATGTGCATGTGCAAGTGTGTGTAGATAAAGCTATATTATTGAGTCCAGATCAGCTGAATTGATTCTGGCGGTTGGTTAAACACACTTCTGCAGGTCTTAAATACAAATCAATAGCTCTTCCCTGAGGGTGCAGCGAGTGTGAATGAAAAACCCATCTCATGAGGACTTTTCTGCCCGCTAATGGTGTCTGTTTGTGCTGCCTAATTAATGATTCATAGTTATGGTGCTTTTAAAATGTACTAAGTTGCATTAATTGTAATTTTTATATTGTTATTTAAGTATTATGTAGACTTGCTGTTTATATAAAGATGAAAAAATCCTTTTGGATTATCAAGTTATTTTTCTTTACATACACTACTGTTTAAAGGTCCCTTACACTCACCAAAGGTGCATTTATTTAATAAAAAATGTTAAAGTATAAATAAAATACTATAAATACTGGGAAATATTTTTTACAATTTAAAATAACTGCTGTCTATTTTAATATATTTTAAAATGTAATTTATTATGTGATGAAATGCTGAATTTTAAGCAGCCATTACTCCAGTCTTCAGTGTCACATGATCCTTCAGAAATCATTCTAATATTCTGATTTAGTGCTCAAGAAACAGTTATTATTATCAATGTTGAAAACAGTTGTGCTGGTGTACGTGTGTATGCATATATATAAGGTGCATATATATATATATATAGTTTCCCCCCCCCAGAAATCTTTTATGATTACACATCTCTTTTAATCATATTTAGTGAAGCTGTCTGAAACAGTAAAAGGGACAGTCACACACACACACAGATCTCACCCGTATCTTGCTGTCTGCTCCAGGATATTCTTTTTCCTCCAGGGCTTCCCAGCGCTGGTCAAATTTAGATACCAGGGGGTCATCGAAATCCACAATCTGAAAGCCTGACACATTGGCTCCACCGTATTGGATTTTTGAAAGATCTCCATCCACAAAACCCTGAAAACGTGACATGGTTTTCTCAGCATTTTTGCTTGTTACATTTTCAAACAGTCATGTTTTTCTTTGGTAGTGTTACATTTGAGATAATTTACCAGGTTTGCTATGATGTAGTGATATCCTTTCACATGCCTGCCAATAGTTATGACCTGCAAAGAGAATAATGAAGCTCATCAAATCAATGAAATACAAATAAATGAAATAAAACTACATTTCATAAATATATTTTAGATAATGACAAGAGAATGTGTACTGCTTCACTATGCCAGCCAGAGAGATGGACTGAAATAAAAGCAGCTTGAGAGGTTTGTGTACTGACAGCAAGGTACTTGTGATGTGCATGTGCAAGTGTGTGTAGATAAAGCTATATTATTGAGTCCAGATCAGCTGAATTGATTCTGGCGGTTGGTTAAACACACTTCTGCAGGTCTTAAATACAAATCAATAGCTCTTCCCTGAGGGTGCAGCGAGTGTGATTGTAAAACCCATCTCATGAGGACTTTTCTGCCTGCTAATGGTGTCTGTTTGTGCCGGCTAATTAATGATTTATAGTTATGGTGCTCTTAAAATGTACTTAGTTGCTTTAATTATTATTTTTAGAAGTATTATGTAGACTTGTGATTGAAGACAAAAATTACTTTTTGATTGTCACTTTCTTATTTTTTTACATTACTGTTTAAAAGTTTGGGGTCTACAAGTCTCTTATGCTCACCAAGGGTGCATTTATTTAATAAAAAATATTAAATTATAAATAAAATACTTTCAATATTGGGAAATGTTTTTACAATTTAAAATAACTGCTGTCTATTTTAATACATTTTAACATGTAATTTATTATGTGATGAAATGCTTAATTTTCAGCAGCCATTACTCCAGTATTCAGTGTCACATGATTCTTCAAAAATCATTCTAATATGCTGATTTGAAACATTTCTGATTATTATCAGTGTTGAAAACAGTTGTGCTACTTAATGTATTTTTTTTCTCAGTAATCTTTGATGATTAGAAAGTTCAAAAGAACATTTATTTGGAATATAAATTTTTTGTAACATTATATATGCCTTTACATTAACATTATATATGTCGCTTTTGATCAATTTATTTAAAATTGATTATTGGTTAATGAAATCTTGCTGACCCCAACTATTAAATGCTGAAGTATTTGTTTTGCTTTGATTTGCTTGTTTGCATGCAATGTCTGCATTATTTCAGCACCCATACAAATGACAACGACCTAAATACATATGCAGCTAAACCAGCACATATTAGGAGCATATTTTTTTAGCTGAAATACTGCAGGCTAAGGTGATAATGTCATAATGTTGATTACATCAGAATTATTAAGTGTTTATGCATACGTTGATATGTATACCTGGTATTTTTTTTCTCAGTAATCTTTGATGATTAGAAAGTTCAAAAGAACAACATTTATTTGGAATATAAATTTTTTGTAACATTATATATGCCTTTACATTAACATTATATATGTCGCTTTTGATCAATTTATTTAAAATTGATTATTGGTTAATGAAATCTTGCTGACCCCAACTATTAAATGCTGAAGTATTTGTTTTGCTTTGATTTGCTTGTTTGCATGCAATGTCTGCATTATTTCAGCACCCATACAAATGACAACGACCTAAATACATATGCAGCTAAACCAGCACATATTAGGAGCATATTTTTTTAGCTGAAATACTGCAGGCTAAGGTGATAATGTCATAATGTTGATTACATCAGAATTATTAAGTGTTTATGCATACGTTGATATGTATACCTGTTCCATGATATCTTTAACTTTGTCCTGCTCACAGTCAAGGATGATTCTCCGCTCCTTCTTGTTTTCTAGGTCCTGGAAGAGTGAGCGATATGCTTCATCCTTTCTCTCATCCTTCATGTTGCCCACGTTGATGGCGGTCACCTGCCATTTCTTCTCTGCTGCTGTGTCCAGCACAACTTGGAGTGTGGTAAGTCCTGATTATGATGAAGAGGAACAGATTAGGTTTTTGGAAGATGCTAGGAATCTATCAAAGCTACAAAGGTCTAATTAGGCTGATTAAAAAGAGTTTTAATAAAGGTACCTCTGCAAAGAAATATGCAACATTTCAGATGCTTCACCTTTTGGATTGTTTGAGCTAGGCAACTCATGATATGTTATTTTTCTTATGTAATTGTTTCCATTTCTTTGCATGATTCACACCGTTTTGAAGTACTGGTTGCCAGTTACATCCTTAATAATACTCCACGGAGGATTTGATACAGATAATAAGGCTCTAAAATTGGCATTTTAATTTCTGTCAGTCACAATCAATCTAATATGCTGATTTGCTGCTTAGAGTTGAAAACTGCTTAATTTTTGTAACTGTGATCACCCCCACCCCACCCCTTATTGATTATATAAGACACTTTAAAACAAAGCAAACCAATAACAGAAGATAAAGTCAAAGGAAACAAGGAGCAGTGACTGTCTTTAATATCCTTCAAGCTCAAACAAGAAAAGAAATCCAGACAAAGTTTGCATTTAATGACCTGCTGAAACAGGGATTCTGGTGCTCTAGCATGTATTCCAGTTGTAAGCATATTTCTCTGTTGTTATTTTTTTTGTCATGCACCTGTCCCTGATGACAACACATCACCTAACAAGCACGAGAGAGCATTTGTGAGGCTGTATGTTTGTGTCAGTGTTGCTCTGGGTCCCTTGTCTCATGCACTTCAGGACCACGGACAGTGACACGTCAGATCCACATGGGCAGCAGGCAGGGTGAAGAAATTACCCTCAGCTACAGTCACTTCACTGCTCATCAGTATCCAGTTCAAAAGCGATGCTGGCATTTCCGTCAGGTGAGTGATGAAGAAAGTATCTAAAGAGATCAACTGTCATGCAGAAAGCAACCAACATGCTGTAAGAATCCATCATGTCTCCACATCCACACCCCTGAGCAAAACTCTAAACTGGAACCTTCACATAATTTATATAAGCACAACAACTACAACCCTGGCCACCAGTCACTTCACTTCCACACTCTGTGGTTTAATGAAACAGGGTGGTGCTCTAGCATGTATTCCAGTTGTAAGCATATTTTTCTCTGTTGTTATTTTTTTTGTCATGCACCTGTCCCTGATGACAACACATCACCTAACAAGCACGAGAGAGCATTTGTGAGGCTGTATGTTTGTGTCAGTGTTGCTCTGGGTCCCTTGTCTCATGCACTTCAGGACCACGGACAGTGACACGTCAGATCCACATGGGCAGCAGGCAGGGTGAAGAAATTACCCTCAGCTACAGTCACTTCACTGCTCATCAGTATCCAGTTCAAAAGCGATGCTGGCATTTCCGTCAGGTGAGTGATGAAGAAAGTATCTAAAGAGATCAACTGTCATGCAGAAAGCAACCAACATGCTGTAAGAATCCATCATGTCTCCACATCCACACCCCTGAGCAAAACTCTAAACTGGAACCTTCACATAATTTATATAAGCACAACAACTACAACCCTGGCCACCAGTCACTTCACTTCCACACTCTGTGGTTTAAAAATAAAAGCCTTTCTCAGACTATAAATTATGCATTTGTTTCCTGCTAAAGTGCTCAATATCAGGTTTGAATAAACTCTTTAATAACCCATCAGCCATTTCTTTACTAAAACATGCACAAGATATTTAATGCAGCAACAAGTGTGTATGCCTCTGTGACTTTCTATCTGTGGTTATCCAGGCTAAAGAAATGCAGTAGTGTGTGATGGACTTATGAAAGTTCAAGTTTGATTTGATAGTTTGTTTGTTTGTTTGTTTGTTTGTTTTTTAATAAAGCAGTAATTTTATTACTTTTATACATTTACTCATTAAATCGATCAAAAGTTAGAGTGAAGACATTTATTAATATTTATATTTCAAATGAATGCTGTTATTTCTTAGAAAAAAAAATGAAATCCTGAAAATCCACAAAAATATTAAGCAGCACAACTGTTTTCAACATTGATGATAATAATAATAAATGTTTCTTGATCACCAAATCAGCATATTTGAATATTTTCTGAAGGATCATGTGACACAAAAGACTGTAGTAATGACTGCTGAAAATTCACAGAAACAGAAATAAATAACATTTTCAAAAAAAATTAAAATAAAATTGAAAATACAGTAGTTATTTTAAATTGTAATAATATTTCACAATATTACTCTTATTGTTGTATTTTTAATCAAATAAATACAGCCTTGGTTAGCATAAGAAACATCTTTCAAAAACAACAACAAAAATCTTACAGACTCTAAATTTTTGAGTGGTACTGTATATTGCTATATATAAGCGCATATAAGCTAATGACACTGTTGTCTGCATTGCATAAAAGCGCTATAGAAATAATATATTTGAATTGACTTTAAACTCTGTAAATTATGTTCTATGTTCTCTTCTTCTTCTCCCTGTATTTCACATGTCACAGCATGTAAACCATCTGAAAATATATATTATCCTATAAGATGCAGCACACATCCTATTATGTACCCTCACTCTTCTGCATTATTTGCACAAATGGAGGACTGGAGGAATATTGGATGTGGCATTAAGTTTGCATTTATGTCCAAATCTCACCAGTGGAATGCATCATGACCACAGGCGCTGTGCTGCTGCTCTCACACAGTAACACTGACACATTAATAACACACAGAGCACAGTGGTTGCCATGGGAATGCAGCGTCGATCGACCTAATTAGTATGACAAGTGATGTAAACGTGTGAGTCAAGGTGCATATTTCATCCCACATACACCACCACACGAGTATGAAATAAATAATGCAGATTCGGCCCGCAACAAAAGCAAACAGTCACAAAGGCATACATGCAAATGCACACACAAAAAAGTTTTTTTTTTTTTGTGAACACAGGGTTATGTATGCATTATTAATATCCATATATGATAAATAACACAATGTGTGCATACCGATCTTCATCACAGGAAAGTTAAAAGTAGCAACCTCACAGTTACTAAAACATCACCATTACAGACATTTGACACCACAGTCCTTAGAGACTCACGTCAGCTATTCTCATTTGTGCCACACAGCTCTCAACCTCCACAACCAAAGAAAGTGAGAATCAGAGGATGACTTAGAGGGAAATGAGTGAGACAGAAAGGGAGAATGTAAAAATGGAGAGTGAGAGAGACAGACAAGCTTGAGACAAATAGAAAGCTGAGAAACAAAGGCCAACAAACACAAAATGAACCTTTAATAATGCCCACAGGATCCTGCTCACTCCAGCTCAAGGTGCAACATAAACCTGTGTTTTATTGTAGATATGCCTTTTGACAGGCTAAAAGCCATAAAAATGAATATTCTGAATACAACAGCCATAATCCCATCAGCACCATCAAATATTGTCAATTGCTTTTATATAGCATCATACTACTGTGTGAGTTATAATACTGTCCCAGGCCCTGTGCCTTTTAACGACGCCCTATGCTGAATCATCCCTATGTACCACCTTTAAACACACATAAGTGATGAGGCACTTTACTCATATTTATTTTAAAATGCTAAAGAAATGCCTTCATCAAAAAGTGATCATTTGGGCTAAACAACAATCCAGCTGATGTGCCTGAAAGCCACCCCACTGGCAAACCACAAATTGAATCCTATTTAAAAGTAAATCTGTCATTTCTCCTCAGCCCACACACGTCACTTTCATATGGTGTTGAATAATGCAGCGCAGTGCCTTACCTCGGTCACTGTCGTACAGGTAGGCAAACTTGTTCCATTTGTAGTACTCAATGAGACTCAGGAGAGGTCCTTTGATGTCTGGTCGCATCTGAATGATAAACTGCTGATTTCCATCCAAGGGAAAGCTTGGTGTGATGAAAGAGACGTGAAGTGTCCCGCAGAACGACGTTATTGTGTTCACTGACTTTTTGTCATAAAATCCAAAAATAGCATAAACTCCTCTTGAGAACTGAGAACAGACTGAAAAAAAGGAGAATCAATTAGAATCTGATAGAAAAGTAACACATTATGAGAGTCTTGCAAGAACTGTAGAAGTTCATTTGTAAAAATTCTTCCCTTTTTCTTCAAGATTTCTGGAAAAAGTCATTACAAAGTGATGCTCATCGAGTGAAGTGTTTTCAAGAATTATGTGAAATTAGATTAGGAAAAAAACTACATAGAGTTAGCACAAGAGTCAATTTCATTAACAACAATGCGGTTCATTATTACATTATTGTTTGATCTCAAAATAATACTTATGAAAAAAATGAAAACATGGCATAAACAAAAATGCAATGTTAAACAGTAAAATAAAATAAATTAAAATAAACATTCAGCTATATGACTCCATACATGAAATTATACATTTTTAAATTGCACTATTTTATTGTTATATTATTTTAATTACCAAAAACATGAAAGAGTCACTAGACATGTATTTTTAATCATAAAGATTTAGATACATATCGAAAAGACAATGCAGATAAATATAATCTTTTGATCCACTATTTTTTTCAATGTTGACTAATGGGATGATGAAATTAATTCTACTTTGGAAGACTGTAAACGTCTTTGTTCCTAAATAATGTGAAGTCAGCAGAAGTAAAAGATTAAGATTATTACTGAAGAATGGCATAATCAAATTTATTGATGAAAGACGCATCCCAATCAGTGTAATCAACTCAAGGCCTTTTAGTTATGAAGACTTGCTGACCAAATTATGACTTTATGATTGAACAGAGTTAAATTAGTGAATTCAAATCCCATAAAAAAATAGAGGGTGGTATTAACATTTTTTTTTAAATCACTGCCATCTTGGTCCTGTTGTCTGGTAACAGCCTCAGGAGTATATAAGCAAGAGCAACAGTATTACTAATAAGGGATGTTTGCTGGCACCTAATGAGTCATTGTGTCACTCATGCTGTGCATCCTCATAAATCACACCAAGACAAACATAGGTGTAAAAGACTGTAAGTACAGTGCGTCCTCATGTTCCTGAGGTGGTACAACATACTGTAACTGGGCCACCTCTATATCAATGACCATCTGGCTCTGAGCCTCTGGAATTTTTTCTTCCATCCACGACAACAGCTCTATTTTCGTTACCACCCCCAACCCGGACTGTCGCTATTTCCCAAGACACCTTTCAGCCTGTCACCTCCACGTATACATTTCATACGATGGAAGCTTCTCCATGGCATTTTACAGATCATAAAGCAAAAGTATGCAGCTGCTCTTAGACCTGTCCTTAATGAGTATGTTGCCCAGCACTAGTAGTCAAATAAACTAGGTCAAGCAGCATAGTTTAAACCATTTATAAACATTAAACATCCTTATCTCGAACCAGTTTCAACATTTGCATTGATCTAGCACTCAGATTGGCAAGAAGAGGTCAGGTCATTTGATGGGACAGGGCAGGTCATCTGGTAAATAGTTGATGAATCAACAGATTCTGGCATTTTACATTAGGTTGCTATCTCGGCCAATGTGCCAATGCTGATACAAGCATACACAGCAAACTTTTATAAATAGTCAATGCCAATGTCATCCACAAGACATGCTTTTAATATACCCATATACCACATGAACTCCATGAATATTTTTTTTTAATTACCAGCTGTATTACAACAAAATAGGTAAAAAAGGATGTCAAGTACAGATAAAAATGCATTTTAAACCAGCTGTATCACAACAAAATAGGTAAAAAAGGATGTCAAGTACAGATAAAAATGCATTTTAAACCAGCTGTATCACAACAAAATAGGTAAAAAAGGATGTCAAGTACAGATAAAAATGCATTTTCAAATTGCCTTTCCTCAGGCTATTACTGTATAAAAATAATGGGACTGTTTTTTTATATTGCTCCAATTATTGCTTGCAGTTGACTTCAGTACATTGAGTGATTCTTCTATTAGGGGAACTGTTCTGTTCCCTAGTATGAATTGAAAGAAAAAATGCAAATATTCTAGTTTTAAAGGGCAGATTATAATAGCCTCAAAATTATGTCTCTTAATTACTATTTCCTCTATTACAAATTTATAAAAAAGCATTAAAACCAGAGAAGTCCAACCTTGCACTTTTACCTAAGAATTTACTAAATTATACAGGTATTTTCAGTGCATTTGCAGTACTGTATGTTTACAATTTTTTTATAACAAAGTATCACTGTCCCCAATGTTGCTGTCTTGAGCAAAACACTAAAAATCCTAGAGAACAAATGTAAAAATAAAATATATATTTTACATTTAATATACATATACTAATATAAAATACATATTAAATGAGAAGTATCTTTACTTTAAGTAGTATATTTAGCAGGGCAGTGGAGTAGATAGCAGACATCTGTAATTAATTAAAATATTTACTCCGTTGTTGTAAAAACAGGTGTTTAGGCATCAGTGCCAAAGTGTTCCATATAATAATTTTAATTTAAAAAACAACTGATTTCTTTTTTATTATTATTATCTTAAAAAAAAAAAAAGGTGAAATGGAGAGATGGCTATTTTTAGTGTTCATAGTGCCTCTATAATTAAAGAATCCCCTATGCAACCCATATCTCAGTACGTGTGCTATGTAATGAACACAAACTTGAGACTTAAATGTTTGTATGGGCCAGTCAGTCAAGTGTGAAAGAACAGTAGATGTACGTCTTATTAAAGTCTTTTAATCAAGAGCAAGACCGCCACCATTTACAGAGAGCGAATGAGACTCGAGAAGCCATTAATGGCACTGTCATATACGACTGCTTTTCAATGGCATAGAGTCATTAACATACACACTGAAAAAAAAGATTTGTTGGATTTACTCAATTGAATTATGGACATTGGTTCCACACATTCAGTTTGAGTTCAGTGTCCTACGTATTTATGTGGTTTCATTATAATACTTTTGTGTCAATCAGATGTATTTTCAAAAAGTAATGTGTAGAGCTAATTTTAATTAAGTAAATCAAACAGCAGAAAAAATCATTTTACGTGAACACCATATGTTGGAAATCTGAATCAGTTTGAACATTTTCTTGCAAAGTGATTATATCATGTTTTGATGACTGTGTTGAATTTCATTTAGACTTTACGCAATAAATTTATGTTTGCATCTCAAACATAAATTTATTAAGTAGACTGTAAGTGTATTGTTTTAGTAAATTCAGTAAAACTGCTTTTCCTTTTTTTCAGTGCAGAAAGAACTCTAACAAGTGGAGTGTGTGGATAAATTACTTCATGCTGTTAATAGCTGCTTATTTATTTTATTTCTTGTCATTATTACTTTTGCATTTAATCAAAGAAACACAATAAAGACTGATCTCTCTTAAAGGATATATCTGTATATACGTTCAGTCTTTAAACTTTGCTTCTCTTGAGTGCATTTCATATCTCTAGAGTAAAAGACAATGAGTTAACGAAAAATACCATGTAAAAGAACATAGATTGCATGGTTTGGATGGAAATTATTTTAATTTAATTCTGCCAAGGAATAAGTATTAGGTCGCAATTTTCTGCAGGTCTAAAGGAACCGTTTGTTCCAAACTCATACTCAGATAATTCATAGTGTCCAGCGTCGGGTTGCACCAAAAATTCAGAGGTTCATAAACTGGACTGTAAAATGGGGTCGGAACAACATGAAGGTGAACAAGTAATGACAACATTTTTCAATTTTTGTAGTTTAGCCTTGGTCACAGAAATTAGTGTGTCTTCTATGAAGATTACGACGGTCCAAACTCTAGATAAAGCTCTGTATGGGCTCACTGGGCCTGATCATAGTGCTGATATTAAATGTGTCCTGGTGTAATGAAAGCAAGGTAACCTTCAGAGAGACACAGCGAGATGAGAAAGCGAGAGAGCAGAACGCCTGTAGTGGTATATTTAGCTGTCCTCATTAGTTGGCCTTATTTTCTTGCATCTGACACATTCTGTTCTATAAGGCTTCCATTTCCTGGACCTGCGATCAAGTCTGCTTTCAAAATGTGTTTCTTGATGGACTTGTAAGCTGGCTAAGTACATTTTAGTATACATTATATTATTTAATGCACTATTTACAAATCATTTTCACTCACCTTTGATTAAATAATTATATTAACTAAAGCGAAAATTGGCACAATATTGTGGAATATAATACACATATAAGCACTAATCACTTGTTTACACAGATAAATTGCATAGATGCCGCTCAAAAGCATTATACATACTACTTTATAAGACCTCATTATCATTTCTAATTTGTTGTTTGTACTAATTTTCTCATTTGTTTGTTTATATTGACTGAAAGTGTGCACAGTAAGTCTAATTAAATGTTGATTTGTTTGCATGATAGCTTCTAGTGTTCCTCCTCCTCTCATGTGTTCGACATAGCAATGTATCGCATATGCCACCTCTGCTTGCCAAAATATTTCATAGGGTTTGTGCTGTTAGCAAACAGAATTGTGGTTCCCTTTTCACGGTCGGCAGTACATTACTCAGTCACTTTTCACAGTATGATGTGCTAAGGATGTGAATGCTGAAATGGCTGGTTTTGGTCAGGTTTAATAGGCTGTGGCTGTTATGGTCTGGTATTGTGTGTGTGTGTGTGTTTAAGTCCGTATGGGTCTCTTTGTATAAAAGCAAGTTTATGTGAGCAGACATGTCTGAGCGGACACATTCCTGCCTTTGGTTTAAGAGGAGCATTGTGGGGTGGATGTGGTTCTCACAGTCTCTTCCTGCAGCTGCTCCATGGAAACACAGAGAGCCTCAGTCCCCTGCAACCCTCTTGTTTACAGAGACCGGATAGAAGCATGCTAAAAAGATAGGGGGAGGTAAACCAGACAAAAGCCTGACCTTTGAGACCTAACCTAAAAACCTGATTTTAAACACATGGGGCAAAAGTTCACATGAAACACATTTCAACACATAATCATGCCATCTGGAAATGGAGAGTGATTTTCTGATTCAAAACACAATGTTTTTTATAAATTAACAAATGATTTTAATGTGATCCCAATTATTTCA